TAATCTCCTGCAATCAAGTTGAAAAACATCTCATATATAACTGGAATCATTGTGAATAATTGAGTATCTGAGAACTCCACACACAGTAGGTCAGTTTTGCTAAATGTCTACAGGACTCAACATAGTTTTTTTCATGTTTAATTAAAAGTTCAGCAAAACAGCAAACACTCACTGCTTGTCACGCTTTCTGATTCTCTCTTTTCTCGAGTTTATAGAGTGTTACCTTTTTTAGTAGGTTGTGTGCTGTAATATTGTGATTTCTCCCTCTTGATGTAGGAATTCAAATGAAAGCTCACTGATATGGCTCCCCCTAGTTTTCTCTTCATAGCTCGCGTCTAGCTTCTTATCAATACTAAATCGTAAGTAATTAACCTTAATTTTTTTTAACAACAGTCCCTTTCACTAAAATCTGAAATGCAAAGTAGGGATGACCAGGAAACTGTCCTTTTCAAATACTAGCATCATATCCTGCTTCAGTGGAGTTTGCTTTACCTTAGCTGTACTTTTAAAGAAAGTTTCATAGCAGCACTGGGTATATCTATTGCCAGGGGTTCAAATTGTATATTTTGCTTCAATATTCATCAGAAAATATATGCGTCAATCAAGTAATCGCTACGCTCCCCAAGTCCTTTATATTGGAGAGACTCCGTAAATATTGACGGTCTTGCTGCCTAGTCTTGGCAATCTAGTAATCTTATAGGGAAGGAGTCCTCCCTATTTATGATAGGATTCCATCTACAGCAGTTAGAATTGCTTAAGGTTGCTCTTCTAATTAGTCTCTCCTTCTGTGGTGTGGTATATATGTGGACTGTTTAAGTACCTTGGTCTGATTTGTGTATCATGAGTGTGTTTAGCCTTCGCAAGTGAAACATCAGTGATATTTTCACAGAAAATTTCTGCACGGTGTGAAGAATCGTTCAAGTTAATAGATATCCCTTAGTATTGCCAAGGGAAAGTAGTTTCAAATGAAATGCATGCAGTTCAGGTACTCTCGAATTTTAACACTATAACCCTCAATCGCAATCGTCTGATCATGTTTGTCAACAAGCCTCATAGAATTTTTGACATCCATGAATTCCTTAAATGTACATGAATTTCTAAGTACTCCTTTATTTTCAAAATGGAATTAAGTCTGTGAAGACATAAATCATGATAGATCATTCTTATCCCCGTTAAGATAGTTACAGCTTGCCACCAGGATATGTCTAAGTATATGCAACTCTTCCTCTCAGGATATCTTGGACGGTCCTGTTTAAAATAGTCACTTCTTGTATCCCTTTTAAGCAATTTTCATGAAAAGCACACAAATTCCTCTCTTTTCTCAGAGGTTGTGGTGTTCACACCATACCTCCTTCTCTCTAATCTAAGTAATTAATAAATTGTGTTCAAGGTTGTAGTGTTACAATTGTGTTTGTTTCTCAACTTTTAGACTGTGAAAGGGACTCTACAAACATGAATTTTGCACTGCACTTTAGTTCAGATTTCAAGCTAGTAAATAACCTGTAATGAGTTTCATTGAATCGATTCTCATTTTAAGAGAAAATCTTCATAGTATGGTGACATGTATCTAAACTAGTCTGATTGAAGCGAGTTTGAGGCCTGTTCATCAGAGACAGGGTAGAAAGTAGAGCCCAGCCCTCCAAAAGCTTACTGATGATGTAATTTTAAAAAAGTTAATTTGAAAGAAGAGGAAATCTGAATTTTCATCTTGGAGCAAATATGTATACGCATTATTATTACTTTATATTTTATTCACTGGTTTCAGGATGCGATTCAACAATTCCTGATGCAAGAATCATTATCTTGAAATGGGGTCACTATTGAGTCTTCTGTCACGAGATGAATCAAACTGCTGTTCTTATCAGAAGTATGATGTATTTCTGGATTTTGAGAGTAAGTTTACAATGGAGAAAATTCACCGCTATTATTGATCATCAAGAAAACAAGACAGTAATCCACCCACCTAAGTATTTTTGTTTTTTTTTCAAATTACTTGGAAGAGGTGATGGTAAGTTTTTGTGTGCCTGCACTTCATGTCATTAGAAAGACCATAATTTGGTGCTTTTACTCAGGCACTACTTCGTCAATCTTTTAATCTGTGGATGGCAATGCGTCAGTTTGAGGGCAATTTAGTGTAAAGGTCTACCTGTGTAATAATGAAGAGATTGCTGCATTGCCATAAATGAATCCTAATATTACCAGTATTGTCTCATATTACCTTTTATCCAATTGACGCTGAAAAAATATTTGACTCCTGAAAAAAATTGATATCTTTAAGTTGGAATAATTTTCTTTTTATTTTTGTATTATCCTCACAGATGCACAGCCAACGCCAGATGAACGACTCGTGTATATGGAAGTGCAATCTGTTCTAGAACAATGTGATATAATTTTAGATGAAATTCAATGCTACAAAGGCGCTGGGAAAGAAATTCGGGAAGCAATAACAACGCCCACGGAAGAATGTCAACTGCGAGCTTGGAAAACAGTGATGCCTCTTGTTGCTAAGCTCAAACGGTTTTACCTTTTCTCAACAGACCTTGGTATGTCCTCATGAGGAGTCTATAGATGCATACTATCTAATATGCTTAAGAATAATTTTAATAACTCATCAAAATAACCACATCTTAAAATTGTCAGAAGCATCTGAACTGCCAGTAGAACAAAAAAGTATTCAGAGAAAGACAAACCTATTTTAGAAACATTCAAAAGCACATTTGTCTTTCTCTTGAACTTTTAAAGAGCGATAGACGATTAAGTTGGCAACCTTGGGCAGTCAAGAGAGGTATAATAATCCCTTAATCCTGAACTTTTCCTCTCCCATCTCTCTCTCCCTCCCATTCTTTCTCGTGTATTTACGAGTATTTCAAAGGCAAAGAAAGAAAAGGTCTGTTAAATTCAATAAATTATCACAAAATCATCCCTAAAAATGCTTCATTCTTAAAAAATAAATGAAGTAAATACAAGAAAAATGCACTAAAACGTGGAATTTAAGACTGCATGGCAAAATGAATATAACCAAGACGTTTCAGGCCAATTATGTACCCACTTTCAACTGGAGCAAAAGCTAAAAGTCAAAAAAGATCAAACAAGAAAATGAGCATGCAACTGACGGAGGTAGGAATTAGTGCAAACTTGAAATTAAATAAATGGTTAAAATTGTCAAGTAATTGTTTTTCTTTTTTCCAACTTCATTGTTTTTCAGAGAGAATTGTGCCCATGATCCTGGGTGAATTATGCAGTGGCAATTCAACTCCAACCCAGCATTTAGATTCGCAACAAGCCTTAGTCAAACAGTTCGCGGAAATTTTAGAATTTGTCCTTAAATTTGATGAGTACAAAGTAAGTCGTTAAAAGCTTCATACTTTCCCTTTATTGTTCTTACTGTTTTTTTGTTTTTTTTTTGGCACCTCTAAAATATTTGGAATGGACTAAAAGTATTAATTCTAAACTGGCAAGTTGAAATCTATTAAACACAGGAAAGTAGTTGAAGATAAGTTGGCAGCCATTCATTTCTGGCTGTCTATGCAATCAATTGTTGCGCATCCTCCACACATAAGGGTTTCATTGCTATGGATGGTGAAGTTCAAGTTCCTAAGATATTCATTAATCGATAAACTGTTTAGATAATCAAAAGCCAGAAACTGCCAAATTTTCTGAGATTCTAAAAGCTCTTCTTTTTTTCTCTTATTAATCAGTTCAGGTATCTTAAAAAGTTTTGTGAAAAAATCAAACGAAATGTTCTTTCTTCCACAAATAATTTCTTTTTAAGCAAATAGTATGCACAGGTCCATAATGTGCATATATTACAGAAAGAATGACCTCTCAAAAACCAAGCTAGTGTAAAAACTCAGAGTAAGATTTAATTTACTGAAAATTTGCTGCATAGTGAAAGTAGGGCTCTCGCATTTTTTTATCATAATTTTTTAAATATTTTGGATTTCTGTTATCATGTCGATTTTTTATTATTATTATTTTTCCTTATGTGAAGCCAAATGAACCAACTTAAGAAGAACCTGTAATCTGTGCCTTTGTAATGGAAGCTTACTTAAATTGGGCCACATCTTTCATCATTTGGGACTTATCTAGGCTGTTTTTTGACCCCTTTTTTTTCAAATTAAACTGTAATTATACTGTTTAAATTAAACTTATCCTAAATTACCAATTTTGTCTGCTGAGCTTCCTATTACTATCAATTGCCGCCTTGAAGTGTCAAGAATTTTTTCATTTGAGCGATGGAATGCTAGAATTGAGTTATCTTAGTAGACCTTGTCCGTTACTTGTAATCATCCCCGATGATCATAAAAAATTTATTTTCTAAGATCTTTTTCCTGTTTCAATCTTGCAGATGAAAACACCTGCCATTCAAAACGATTTTAGTTATTACCGAAGGACCATAACAAGACAAAGAATGTGTGACAATGAATTTTCACGACGTGATGGGAAAGAAGTCAGTAATGAATTAGCAAATCGTATGTCTTTGTTTTATGCACATGCAACACCCATGCTCAGAGCCCTCAGTGATGCAACATCAAAATTTGTCTGCGAGGTAATCGATTTTTCCCTTATTTTTTTTTTTCTTTGCATGAGTTTTAGATCAGAAACCTCAGGGAGCGCTAATGACGTGCTCATACAAAGGGGTTCATTTCCACTTTTTCCTAAATCTAGAAAATGGTGTTTAAAGTTTGGCACCATTCCTTCTTCACTTATTCTGATTTTTGGCTGATTTACTGATTCATGCCAATTCCTAGTATCCTGTAGCTCTCATCTATATTAATTATAATTCCCTTCTCTTAAATCAAAACTCGAGGGTTAATTTTTTTGTTAATCTACCCATTCGCTTTTTACATATTGAGAACTCAAAAAAAAATGAATACCGCCCTATTGATAAGGAAGACAAGCGCTCGTAGCAGATGTTTTTCAATTATTCCAATTTTTTACTGAGAGGTGTTAATTTGTGGAACAAATTAATAAGAACTAGCTCTTACCAAAAACTTTCATTTTCCTTTCGCTGTAGGTACACCCCCCTTTTTTTACTTATCAAAACCTATCAGCCTAAGTGATTATAATAATTGGATGTTTTCTTTTTTTTACGCTCCATGCATTCTAGAATCCGGAAATTCCGATTGAGCAAACAACTGAAATGCTGAGCACTATGACCAAAGTTTGTCTTAGGATGCTGGAAAATCCGTGAGTACTTCAATAGCGACATATTTTTTTTCTCTAACCAAAAGAGCAGGTTTGCATAATAAAGTACTTTAAGTCTGTCTTAGCTACTATATTTTTCAAGTTTTCTACCCTGTTCGTTTTTCTAATTTTATTTTCATTATTATGTCATGGAAGTTGGGGCTTTGAAAAGCAAGAGGATAATCAGACAGTCTGCTGAGGAACACAATAGGTCCTATTCTAGAAAGACTCACCGCATTTCTGTTAATAGCAGAACGTACCTACTAATTTGTTTTAAAATATAATTTAAAGGCTTGGATGGACCAGGGGTTACTTTTTGAACCCATGTCAATGGGTGGCGCCAACCAAAGTTTCACAATTATTTCTCCTTTCTTTGATTCTGCGATAAGAATCAAAGTCTTCTCATGTTAAAATTTTAAAGTTTTAAAAAAAAATGGTTCATAAATATTTAATTTTAAAGTTACAAAGCAATGCTACTCTAATGTTGAAATTTTTTTGGATCAGATTTGTAACATAAGAACAATTTTATTTGACAGGTCCCTGATTTCTCAGTTTGAACGAGAAGAGACACGCCTATTGGTACTGCGAGTTATGGTCGGACTAGTAATCCTTTATGATCATGTTCATCCTCAAGGGGTTTTTGTGAAGGGCAATGGAGTTGATGTGAAAGGCTGCATTAAATTGCTGAAAGAACAACCATCCGTGCGCTCAGAAGGACTGCTCAATGCCCTCAGGTAAAAAAAAATCCTTTTTTCATGTAGGCTTTATTGTTTAGCTCGTACCTAGTACAGTAAGACCTCGAATTTTTGGATCACGATTTAACAGATTCTGCAATTTAAAGGATCGATCCTCCGGTCCCTTCAGCAGGACCGACTAGCGCGATTTAGCGGATTCCGCTATTTAACGGATTCGGCCTCCGGTCCTGTGAAATCCGATAAATTGAGGTCTTACTGTAATCCTAAAAAGTAATGTCGGCCCTTTCAATTTTAAATGACTCCATGGCAACGTTTAAGCACTATTCCACTTGTAGATTTACTTAAGATACCTTTGTCACAGATAGGTGGGTACAACAATATCAACATGACTTATGCTTTAGTGCAGCAATGTCCAGACAGCCATTACAACTCTAAGTCAAATCTGCAATCTCTGAAAAACAACAAAAATATATTTTTTCATTTCTATCCTCTAAATTTTTTCACTGTTTTCCTCTGCTTTTCGAACAATTTTCTTTGAATAGGTACCTATTCAAAGACATTATTTACCTAGGACATATTTTTTATTTTCACCCACATATTTATAGAATGGCATTCCATGAATGTTACTAAATTAGGAACTATGTTTTCCAAATATTGATCACAGTTATCTTTGATTTTTGCCGTCCAAGTGCTGTTGTTTTTTAGTCAGTTACATCAGTTCAGGATTCCATCAGATATTACCCACCCTGTCTTTCCATTCCCAGTCCTCAACTGGAAAATTTTTAATCATTGCAAAAATTTAGGAAACTTTTTTTGATCTGCAGTAAATTCAGCAGCAAAGCTTAACAATTGTTCCTCAACACTGGATCTGCAAAAATGGGAAAAAGTAATAGAATCATCGATTAGGACGCTTGTTTGCACCATGTTGTAGAGGAAGGACTGTTATGCCAGTGTTGCACCTCACAATTGGTTTTAATTCTATTAAATGAATCTAAGCAATCAGTGTGGGCACAAATTGATATTTCTCAAAAGAGTGACACCCTTTTAGAACTTCAGTGACATCATGATCGAAGCAGGTCATAAACAATGGAGATGTTGCATGTGTGAGGAATTTGCGATTTGACTATCGATTCATTTGTAAAAGTTCGCAAGAAACACGATGCTGCCACTGGTTTTCTCTGAAATCAACTCCCAAGCTCAAAAAAAGCTCTCAAGTTGAGGTCAAAATGGAGGGGATATCCCACGCTATCCTGAGAGTCCACCTCTACATCAAGATAAGCTCTCCATGCAAAGATAGGGAGCAAATACATTAGCAGTGTTGCCATGTTTTCAATTTTAGAGTCCCCAAATAAAGTGGCAGCCGTGTCAATGTACTTGCTCCCTATCTTTGCATGGAGAGTTTGTCTTGATGCAAAGGTGGACTCTCAGGATAGCGTGGGATATCCCCTACATTTTGGCCTCAACTTCAGAGCTTTTTTTGAGCTTGGGAGTTGATTTCAGAGAAAACCAGTGGCACCATTGTGTTTCTCTTGAACTGTTACATATAAATCGATAGTCAAATTGCAAATTTCTCACACGTGCAACATCTCCATTCTGATAAGAAGTGAGGAAGTCAAAAAAAGATGAAAGCAGGTAGCATGATCCATCTACAAAAACCTGATGACATGCCTCTCCAACAATCTAATTTCAGAATTTTGTGACTTAACCAATCTGATGGAACAAAAGGGGGCAGAATGTAATAAGTCAGCAATGGAAAATATTAAAATGAACTAGATAGAACAAGAGGAAGTTTTGCAGTTTCATCAATAGTCCTGGTGTTTTGCGGTCGTCACAAATTGCATTTTCCTTGTAGTTTGTACCTTTATTCTTTTAAGTCTTGCATTGCTTCTCTCCTCTTTCGAAAATATAAATAGGAAATAGAATATGAAGAGCTTGTGAAATAATTCTCAACGCTCATACTTAATTGCACTTTAATTAAACGTCAATGTGAAAAATCTAAAAATAGCAGCCGCAAGTCAAAAATACCTGTTTAGTGATCTTCAGACCTACGCTGATTTTTTTCTTTTGCCACGTAAGTGATAGAAACTGATTTTTACCTTTTTTACATTATCATGTCTCCTTTTCTTCTTTGCTTCAGGTATACTACAAAGCATTTCAATGAAGAAAGTACTCCTAAGTATGTTCGAAATTTATTGGCGGCATGATAATGGATGTGACTTATTGGTAAGTAATGATTAAGGAGGCTCTCGTTTTCTTTTTCCTTTTTTTTATCATAAAGAGCACAATAAAACTGCATTCAATTCTTTACTTCTTAATGACAATTCGATCACATTTATTTAAAAGTAACCAGCGTGGTTACAGTGTTTTCAAAATTGTGCAATTTCTTCTTTTCTTTTGAAAATACCTAATATTTGTACAGTATCTAAATTTACACAATTATTTTCCTTTAAAATTAACTACTTTCCAATGGGAAGCCAAAACTATTTGCCATTCTGAAAATTTTTTTATATCGTTTTGAGGAAGCAACCTTTTTACAACATAATTGCACTGGGTCCTTTTTCTTAAATGCGATCCGATTGATCGCTCCGAGAAAATATTTTCTCAAGAGGTACCATCGGCTTTCTATAGCTCCATTGCAACGCACAGACATAGAGAATGAACCAGTAGATAAGGCACAAACTGAAGGATACTGATACCTGTTTCTTAACGAAAATTTCACTCAGAACATAATTTGCACAACAAAAAGTACTGAAATCAATTCCCAACTTAGATATTAACGTTTCTAGTTTACAATGGTCGTAGGAAATTTCAACACCCCGCAAACAAGAAATCAGAAGTCTACTTAAAACAAATCGCGCACTATAAAGATTTTGGCAGTTGAGTAATAAAGGAATGTCCGTCGCCTGCTTTGTGTTGCTCAAAATGTTAACATGCAACTGCTGAGCCCAAGCACTGAGATTAAGGTTGCCATCTTTTCATACTGTAGATACTGCTACGGTAATGTTTAGTGCTGGATTTGTCTCACATAAACATTTATTTTTTCATGAGTGGGAAGTTTGGATTTACCCATCAAAAAATGTTAAATATTTTAGTTAGGAGTTAATTTCAGTAATTTTGGTTGCACAAATTGTGTTCTACGTGAAATTTGGATTAGACAACGTGTATCAGAATCCATAAATTTGCACCTCATCTAGTGAACCATTCTAACAAACTTCACCAACAGAAAAACAGTAAAGAAAACTATTGAGTATAAAATCACATTCTCAACTGTCAATCTCTCTTGTCAGTATGTCTTTCTTATCCTTTCTAAAATACTCCGTGCAGTTTTTAGAAATCTCTCTGCAACTCATGAAAATATAAATGCCTCTTGTATGACAAATTTTTACTTTACTGAACAAAGAATTTTGGGAAACATTTTTTCCCTGTCTGATAACTCATTCTTCTTGTTTCCAGATTGCAAAGATTTACCCTCAAGTATTAATTCTATATGGCATCCGGATTGATTTAGTATGACATCCCTTATTCTTAATAACCAGTTCTCCTAATCAGCGGTTGATTTTCTCCGCAGATTATCAGGAGCATCAACAGAAAGGAAGTATAAAAATAATCTGCGGCAGGCATGCATGGCATTAGTCAAAATTACTCATTTTAAAATTTTTACTGCCACGTTTGCCTTCAATCTATTTAAAAATGTAAGCCAGTTCTAGGACTTCAATTTTTGAGTCAAGGAAGGCTGTCACCGCACAGATTTAGTTCCACCTTTCATTGCTCAACTTTACTGGATATACTCCAATTTTTTGGAGCTGGATTTTCTGAAAACCAGAAAAATTTTCAGTTCTCTTAGAATTTCTGATTGTGTAGTGACAAAGTTCAGTTAGATCATTTCTATCCTTAATGCTGATCTATCAGTCACAAACCAAGCAATGAATTGGTCATTTTCAAATTTAATGAATTTAGCCAAACAGCCAGTCAATAGTTGTTTCTCATGGAGATTCTGAACTAGAAATCAAAGAAATAAAACTTGTGAATGGACTAGCTATTGATATTGTCTGTACACTTTACCTGCGCTGCATTACAATAATAATTAAAAGCTACATTTATTTCCCTCTCTTTTGTGTAATCTGCCAGCACCTTTATTCGTGTTTTGGTGGTAAAAGAGATTGCTAGAAAAGATCAAATTTGTTTGAGATTTTTCTTGTGCTACCATGGACAGACATGACACCACAACCAAAAAAATTTTACCATATTTCTATCCTTAGCAACAGTAGTTTTGAAATATTCAGTACCTACTTTTTTTCTGTGATCCAAAGAAGGGCTGACCTTGATGGTGAAGCAATTAAGGCAGTTTGATGTCTTGTCGTATTGTTGACGTTCCATATTCAATTTCCGGTGGTGATGGATTTTGAGGACACTTAAAAGTCTCTCATTAAGGCTGCAGATGATCATTCAAGCCAACATCCTGTTTGTTCCTTCGAGACAACAGAGCGGGTAGGGATATGGCCAGTTGACCATCCAGCAGCAGTCAATTTGCTTTGCTTGACAGTGTTGTAATTAAAAAATAGATTATTCCAGATTGAACAAACAGTTCAACTGTGTTTGGGCATGGCTGCGCTCAGAAATAGGAAGACAGGTAGTGTCCGTCACGGTCGTTAATACAACATGTTGTCGGTTTATTAGGCGGCCACTGAATCTAGCGGTTTAAAAATGGAATTTGACATTTTTATGTCAGTTGAGGAAAAAGATGAGGTACACAGTTCAACAGTATCTTACAGTCCTCTGTTGAAAGGAGCCCCCGGCTCAGAAATGGGTCAAAACTTGAGCCACTACTACATACTAAGGAAAGCCAACCCTCTTAATTGCATATGATGTAATCCTTATATCTTTTTACGATCACAAGTAATATAACCATTATGTTCCTTCATAAAAATGTTTGGAAATGACCCATTATTCCTTGAAATTGTTTAAATTTACTTCTCATATATTTAATTTAATTGTAAATATACTTACGCAACAAAATGTTTGATTTTTGAAAAATTTTATGAAAAATATGACTGATTAATATTAATTTTAACTTAATATCCCATGAGTCTGTTTCCTTATCAATATTGTTGTCTTCTGATCTTCATTATTCTTTCGGAATCTACTTAATGTTGCATCTGTCTACTTATTCTCTCTTCATTGGTCAAACTTCACAAGTAGCCAGATCTTGTTGCTGCCTTTGAAAATTGTTTTCTTCATTTTGTCCCCTTTGCCATATTTCCATTGATCTGTACCCCTATTTTCCTTTTCTTTCTCTTGCGATGATGCAGTTTATCTATTCCATTCATACATGACCAAATATTTTGTTTTCCATTGAATAGTATGCTTTGGAAACAATTTCACTTTTTCTTTTTTTAAGTTCAAATTTTTACGCAAAATATCCCTCAGACTTTTGATCCAATTTTTTTGCAGATTACAGAAATATTGTCGATTTCTGACTGCAACTTATGTTTTTCTACAAATTGATTCTCTATGAAAGAATGCTGTTTTTGATCTGTAGCTCAGTTTCTTTCATTTCCAGAGAAATTTTCACTTTTAAAGTGGGCATTTTTCGAATGACTACATCCAATGGAATTAAGTTCTTTTGGAAACTTAATGGCTTCTTTTGTAAACTGCCCGTAACCTTTTTTGTTGTGTGAGCCAAGACACAAAAATACCCCAAAAAATTTCATTTTTTTTCTCTCATATTTTTGTAAACATTATTCCATTCTCAGATGTGCTTGTCCAATTAGTCACATGTTATTGAATAAAATGTTGTGGGCAATTTTGAAACAGAGCAATGAACGCAAATTTTACCTCCAGAAATCGATCTGATTACCAAGCAATGAGCTTAAAATCAAGCCAGCAGACCGTATTCATATTCCAATTTGCAACGAAGAGGTTTTTTCAAGCAGTGTATTTCTTTTAGTAAAAATTGATTACGACCGTAAATACAGGTACACCTCGTTGTTCATCAAGTTGGAACCTTGAAAATTTAGTTTAAAATTTATGCTATTCGAGTACTGTCACATTTAAAGTTCTCTCTGTGTTGACTCTGTTGCCTTGAAACCATTAAAACTATTGCTGCAATGGTATGTTTGGGTTTTTGATTGAAAGAACCTTAAAATATGTAGTGCCAAGTTAACTAGTTTAAAAGATCGTGTTGAAGATTAGTTTTGGAATCGTTTTGAGTCCTGAAGCATTTATTCTATAAACTGTAAAATAATATTCATATTTTTGAAAGTCTAACAGTAGTGTCAATGAAATAATAGACCTGAAATTCAAGACACACTACTGTATTTTGTATTTTTCTACAGAGACCCCAAATTTAGCAAATTTCAGTAAGAAAAAATTATCAATAAGCCATCAGAAGACATTCGTAAAATAGTATTTTTAATAGGTAGCCAAAAACCATAGTCATTGCAGTTAGTGTGATCTGCAACTGTCATTTATGACTTTCTTGATGCCTCCTAATTTTTTTTTTACTTCTTCCCCTCTTTTTTCTTTCCTCTCTGGCCATCACCAGGAGGCATAAGGTAATGCAATTTTCAGAAATTATATCCGTTTTAATGAAGCCTCCATGTGAATTCATTCCCTTATGAGACAATAGTAAAATATCATCATCCATCATGGAAGTATTCACCAGTATTCTCCTGTTAAATTTGCACCAAACGGCAGTTATGCTCCAACCATTTGTGTTATGTGCTAGAAATCCAATGATTCTAATCTCATGTATCACACTTTAGAGTTATGTTGTAGGAATCTAATTATTCTAATTTCATAATGTTGAACTAGTAATTCATTTTGAACTTGTGTCAAAGTGGAAAAAAAAGACATTAGACAAGAATACTTGTCTTTTTTGCTCAATAGGTTTAATTGAAAGTAGCAATGATTCTGAAAACGTCATACGCTCAGAACGAATTCACGCACAAACAGCCTCTAGCCATTATTTTCTGGCTCATAAATAGTATCAATAAAAAAAAGCCTCAGAATTCTTTTCATTACTTTTTACAGTTAGTTTTCATTTAAATATAACAAATCCATTTTCTGACTGATCAATTGTGTGTCTTAATAAAAAAGGCATTTGATTACGCACATTTCATTAAGATTTCACTAGACTTTATTTCTGACAGCTAGCTCCCATGGCTTTGTTTTCATTTTCCATCAAATAATTTTATAGTTTACCCTTCCAAAATGTTTCTATGTCCAGTCACTATTTACAATTTTTGCAGCAATCCACTTAATTTTCTTTCCTTCTCCTCTATTTTAACTCCAGCCACACCAAATTTCATTCCACAAATGGCCTTTACTTGATTTCACTGCCCGAAGTATAGGAATTCAAATTTTTTCTGGATCCTGATGAATAAGAATATTATTGTTATAATTTATGTATATGCATATAATAATGATTTATCACTGCAATCCTTGTTATGTAAATTTTTTAATTGTTTAGAGAATTACTAATTTTTTGTACAGAAAAATTTTATCTGCTGAAATTACAATTTATAAAGTAAGCTTGACTCTGATAAGTTCAAGTAATAGTTATTCCGTTTTGAAAATATTCAATGTGAAGCCCTCTAGTCTAAATTGGTTTCTTTTTCTTTTCCCAGATTCTGCTTCTATTTTAAATAAAAATAATTACATACCACTTGAAATTATTCTTTCTCACCCTTCCCCTTTTTCAGTGTTATGTTGAATGTTAAAGCATCTCACCAATAATGTCTACTCTAAGTTCATATTATTTAATTCCTTTTTCATGTATCAGAATTATTTTAGATAATAGAATCATGTCCTACAGTTATTGAGGTACTGCACAGCTCAACTAGCTCAGTGCATTATTGAAATAGTTTAAACACTTTAAACAATTGCCTCCTTCAGCATTTTTCAGTTTTATCTCTTAAGTTGGAAAGTGCACAAAGGAAAATAAAATGTCATGTTACTCATGAAGACTGAAGGCAAATGGCTCTTGCCAAGTTTCCTTAAAAATATGACTGCCTCTCTATTTTACTGAAAATACTGCAGTAGTTTTCAGAGTCATTAAAAATACTGTGGAAGAAAAATCTTACAGTTAAACAGTGCTAAATCCTGAGAGATCCTTGGGGTCAAATCGATGGGCCCCTGAAAAATAGCAGAATCAGCTCTTTATCCCCTATAATCTTCACTGTAAGTCCCAACAACACACCATTTTATCCTGACAAGTAGCACAAGTCGGGTGGTAAAGAAGAGAGTGGGAATAGCCTCGAGAAAACATCATGTATTTAAAACTCAACATTTCAAATCACAAAATATGACTTATTATAAGTAAGTTATTGAGACAGTATTTACTGTTTCTATACTTTAAAATAAGGATGGTACTTTTCAGACTTTTCTCTTCAAGTTTAGGGAAAAACTTTCCCAAATATTTTAAAACTCGCTTGATTTTCTCATACTAAGTGCAAACTTGCATTAATAGAGGTGTTCTGTTTCAGTTAAGTTTTACATTAATTTTTTCTTACACTTTTTGCACCAAAATGTTACACATCAACAATTCAACATGAATCATACTCTAAATGTAACAAAATTTTGATGCCATCTTTTTTCCAAGGTACATAAATCGCATAGAAATGGAACAACAGAATCCCTTATTTAAAATTCTTTGAGAAATTCATCATCTGATTCCTTCTGGAGTCATTGCTACCAAAGTTAACTAGCCAGTCAACTTATTTACAACGCTTTGCTCGTCGAGTACTTGGGTTTTTTAGAGTTAAAAAAAAACTTATAACAAAAAAGAGATAAAAGAGATTGCAAAAGCTTATAAGTATCTTCAGATAAGAAAGGAACTCCATTCCGAACAACGACGAATTACACTCCATACTATGACAAAGAAACCTAAGAAATAAGAAGTGTCGAAACTATATTTGATTGAAAATATTCAGCAGAAATATGGAAGCATTTATGGACAATTCAATGGAGAATTCAATCTTCAAAACCTTGTTATATTGTAAAACTAAATGATGAGAACTTTTATCATTATCATGAATAGTAACTCGACTGGGGATGGACTGTAGACTATAAACGCACAATGTAGACAGCAGTTGACAGTATAATAATGCAAAGACTGCATGGGAAAGCATGGGAATCCTCACTAACCACACATGGCTAAGAAGAAAAAAAGATGAGCTGAAAAAATGTTAGAAATGCATCTGAGAGTGCACTAAGTTCTGAGATAACAGATTAAAAGAATTCAATATGAAGTCACTGCACTCCCATATTGATGAGAAGTTCATACTCAGCATATTTCTGTCGCTCTCTCTAGAACCTAATTACTCATTGAAGTAAAAAAAAAAAAGCTGAAATGGGACTAAGAGGCAAAAAATAGATAATTTTCAAACTGACTACATCAAAAGTTTTGCAGGCCTACCCTACATTCATGAAATTTGAGTTACATTAATGATGCAATCCCTTGTTGATGGAGACCCAGAATATTTTCTCCAGACGGAGCTGATTAGTGATTAGGTACTCAAGTCAATAAAGTATTATCTTCTTGCTTCAGGGCAATGAAGAAAAGTTGTCTTCCCACAATCACTTCCTGTTCAAAATTTTTGTTGATTTTTAAATTCAGTGGGCCAAAGACTTACGGTCATTCAAAGCTGAAAATGATTAACTTTATAATTCAACCTTTATATTTTATTCAAAGATAAAGGGAACATTTCTGATGATACATTCTTGACACATTTAGAAAAAATAAAATAAGTGTCAAAGGTTAGAAAACAATTCGTCAATTAATGTTGGTTTCTTCATGGAAGTTAGGACGAAAAGTAATCAGCTTGACATGAGAAATTAAATACTCCTAAAAGATCTTACAGAGAGTTTGGGGACAACAGTACCTAACTCAAACATTTTGGTAACATTTTAAACTTGCAGAGAAACGAACAGGCGAAAATAAAAACTCAGATTGATGGGCTCTGACTTAGAAACACTTAGGTTGGTGTGTATCATTCAGGGGGTGACAATGCCCGGTTTTAATTTGGGAGTGAGGCAAGCACATTAACTTCAGTGGTTTCCAGTTTTTCCGATAGGCTGTCAAAAAGTAAGTATGATTCCATAAAACTTTCCACTTGAAGCATGAAAAAATTTCATCTGCATACTTGGCAAAAAACTAATGGTGCTAAGTTAAAGGAATAAAATGAAAACTCTAGTTCAGAAAAAGGTTTAGAGATAAAATTTAGTTTTTCAGTTTAGATTTACTATATTTCTATGCATGAAGAACAATTGCAATCTCATTGACCCCACTTCCATGAACTTTCCAAGCATTCTATCAAGTAATCTGTCCATGGTTGTTCTCCACTGTCATTTTAAATTTTATTTCCTTGACCAACCCTTCAACATGACATGATTATAGAATGTTTTGGCTGTAATTTCCAAAGATTCCCAGAATTACTGATCATAATTTAGTGAAAGGGTAGACTTGAAGGGCATCATTCTGTTGCAGTTTACTCAAGCAAGGTAACTGCTTCATGTTTCAAACCCTCTTTCTTCCACAATAAAAATAAATATAAGGACTTTGAGCACCATCTTTTGAAAAACGTTTGCGGTAGACTAGCCTCCTCTTCCTTCATTTCATTTCACTAAGTGATGGTTGGTCTCGGCTTCAGAATCAATTTGCCAGTATCATCGCACGACATATTAAAATCCTCAAGAACGCTTTTAGTGCGGGCAGTGATGATGGATGGAGCTATGACTCTTTTGTGGATTCCAAAGATGAATAAAATAACTAGAACAAAGATTGTTAGAGATGAGTGACTACACTGATTTAAAAACGATTCATTAAAGCGAATTACTTGTAAAAATTTAGGAGAGCCTATTCTGCAAAACCTTTATCCTTGAAAAAACTACATAAAAGGGTACTTGGTCTCAACTTGTAAAGAGAGAAAATGTTAGCTATACATTCCTACGATTATAGGTTGTGAAATAAGACTCAAGTATGTTGTTTATTCCTGTAAAAGTAAGAAAAAATAAATATGAATATCAAGCTTGATTGCATGAGTTATAAAAATTTCTGTGTTCATGAAGCATGCTGCGCCCTTTGAAAGACTTTCGCTGAAAATCTAGAGAATGGGTGCGTTATGATGTACTAGAAAATCATTGCATTATGATATACAATCATATCCTTCAACTTTTAAGCATAAGGGGACACACATGTATTAAATAAGCAATTTTGGCCCCCCCTCCCTTCCCGTGTTGGTAACTCACTACGAGACCACCCCTC